TCTGACTTTTTTTCCTTAATTTCAGGAAGTCTTTATACTACAGCGCCTGCAAGCACAGAATTTTTAAAACAAATAATAAACGTTGATAACGAGAATCAATAAACATATGTATATATACAAAAAAGACGATTTAGTTTATTTATATAATGAATGATTTATCATTTTTAAAAATCTCTTCCGCGCCTATATACATATATACCCAATTGAGATGCGCGATTAAAACTATAAAAAGGTAAACGAATCTAGCAAATTTGATGTCATATTATGATAAATGTTTATTAGTACTACGTTCAATAAAATATGGAAATGTATGTTTTATCTCTTTTAATGCCCGTAAACTATCTAATGTTTATTTAGCAAAGATAAAAATGTATAACATTATTAAATAAATTATAAATTTTAGACATCTTATTTGGAGAATGAACCCTTCTCGATAGTGAGAATAAAACATTTTTTTATTTAGATAATATCAATACAAATTGCAATTACTCTTAAAACTATTATTTCTATTACACATTGTTATTTTTTCCTTTAAACATTAAAGAAATCATTAAATCTTGCGTATTCATCACAAATTACGATCGACGCCTATCTTCTGTAAATATCATGTACAATCTCTTTCTCTTTCTTTCTTCATGTTAGAAAAAAATCAAATCAGAATTATATAGTCCCGCAATAGAGATTTTAGCGGCGTCACACCTCGGATATAACTGTAAAGTAAAAAAGTCTAAATAATCATTAAATATGTTTTACGAATTTACGAAAAAATCTTTTGTTAAATTGCCAAGTTCCATTAAACAATAATATTACAATATAAAAGCATTATATAATAAACATTATAAATCTTAAGATCTTCATATATATATAGCTAACAGCTTTGTTTCCTAACTCGAATATATATAAAACATGTTCAAAAAAACGTATTTACGAATGTACGTTTCGTGCACTAGACGCACTGAGAGAAAAAATTTTTGGTATTTAGACCTATAATTACATATTCCTATAATTATAATTATGACTATTATAGTATTAGTAGTAAGTGTATATACATGTATATTAGGATGGCCATTATTTTAATAATTTTTGAAATTTGATTGAGACACCTCAAGATGCTTTTCCGTTTACTGTGTCCTGGTGACACGGGTTAATATTGTTCAAAAAAATCTGAAAAAATTCTGTTGTTATTTTCTTTGAGATATTGAACATTTTAGGGAGTATTCCGATGTTAAAAGTTATTAAAATAACAACCGTCCTAATGTATAGTTCTACCAATCAATCAGTATATGTATATAGTAGTTATAATTATAATATAATTATATGTAATTATAGTTACAAATACCAAAAAGTTTTTCAGTATGTGTCTTAATGACGTGAAATGTTAAAGACCAATTTAGATGATGTATAATCTCCATGTCAGAGAAATAACTGAAGAAAAATCAGAATATATATAATAAAATACACAACATAAAACATAAAAGTTTCTATCCTGAAACCTGATAGATCAATAAAGTAATGTGAGCTTAAGAGCATGTCAAATCACAATTTACAATCTTAAAGTAATCAAGATAATGACTTATAGATCATAGGTAACTTGGTACCACCGGCGGAACGGGCATTAACTCGTATGCGTTACGAAATCTTAACTGTTACAAGGGAAACTTATGTACATATAAGCTATAAACGAGTACTATACACACACAACATTTCGAGGTGTTATTATATCAAAATTTTCGTACATTTCATATACAGATTATACCAGGATGTTACTTGATATTATCTAATTAATTTTATTTTTTGTTTATATCGTAAACCGATTCAGAGGGAAACATATCTAAGAATAAAAATATAACTATGTAGTTAAAACCAGCTAACAATTATTGATGTATAAATTGCTACATACATACGTTTACGTGCTCACGATCTCTGTGTCATAATAATATATTTCTATGGTTCTTTTTGGTAAAACACTTGTTCATAACATTTAATGCGCGACGTGTAATCACATAATATGAAAATAACTACTTAAATAAGGTGCTGACAATGTGAAGTTGTAAAATCGAAAAGATTGTTCTTAATCAACCTCTAACTTTCGGAACGAACCGCATATTCCGCTTAATTCTTCGTTAGCCTCTTGATAATATTTCGGCGATATTTCAATATACATATCGTCGAGAGCCTTGAGTTCATCTTTTTTCTGTTTTAGTTCTTTCTTAAATTCGTCTAAAAGATAGATAGCATAGTTAGGAAATAATACAATTTGAGTCTGCTTGAAATTTGGAAGAATTGCGAGGAAAAACTTCGTACCGATCATTTCCGAAAGCGAGATTTCCCCGCCATATTCCTTCGGTAGTATCTTTGGATCTACTGCTTCTTTTAGCTCTTGTACATTCCTATGTATCTGAAAAAATTGCAAATTGATTTGTCAGATGTGTAAATTTAAACGCAGCCATATTTACCATAACGAAATTTACCATTTCACGATATTTACCATAACGCGAGACTTAAACTTGTCGTTTAATACAGACATGCTGAATTCGAGGATCTTCGCTACGCTGTTGGGTAGATTGATTATATGCGTCTCCTTGTGACGCATCGGTGAACTGTTCTGTACGCACCTCAATATATTACGAATGTCCATGAAAGACAACGTGCTGAAATGACTCATGGACAATCCTGCTTCGTCGTTGAGATATGTGTAGCCATAGACTTGATTTTTCTCATCGTCCAACAAGGACTCTACCACTATACTATGAACCCGGACCAAGTGGGCAGATGAGAATTTACTAGGGTCGAAACGCCCTTAAAAAAACGCAGAAAATAAAGTAGTATGAATATCTAATATATGCTCGGAGACTTGCTTGAAATTAACTATGAAGCAGAAATGTCAGATTTAATAATAATAATAATAATAATAATATCAAACACAATTAAGAATTTTATTTAAAAACTAGGTAACTTTCGATACAATGAATTGAATGCCAGTATTGAGAATGTGTTCCACTTAACGTTCTCAACACTCGCATGCGTCATTTCAATTTTGTTTAATATTTGATGACAAGAGAAGGATGAAATAATGTTCGCGAGAGTTGCGGACTTTAAGTTTGTGAATGCACGCCTTTGAAACCTGAAAATAAATGACTAGCTACGTTTATATGAATGTGGAATACCATAGATAAATGCTACTTGAAGATTGTGCTAAATGTAGGAAAAAAATATGCTTGTTTGATTTTATTTGAGATGAACAAAAGACATTTAATTTAATAAATTTAGTTTTGAAAAACTTTTAGAGGTAGCTAAATACAAAATATAAATAATAAGAGCGTACAGCCACAACGCACGATATGTATTTACTTATTTAGCGAAAGTCGTATATTTAAAAAATTATTTCATATGATTAGTAGACGTTTCGGTCAAAAGTCTTGACCATCATCAGTACAATAAAAATATAAATGGTATTACAGACATTAAACAGAATGTTAAAAATTATTCGCTAGTTCAGAATTGAAAGATATACATTTACATTCGGAAATTCCGTATTTTTCATACGAAGCCTTACAAATGTTCAAGTAACAAGGAATTTATATCGCATAAAGTCTCCTTCTATAAGCGAATATAAATTTGTATCTAACATTTATATTTTTTATTGTACTGATGATGGTCAAGACTTGACTGAAACGTCTACTTATCATATGAAATAATTTTTTAAATATACGACTTTCGCTAAATACATCGTGCATTGTGGCTGTATCCTTTTTATTGTTTATATTTAATAAATTTAGGCTAGGTTGTTCTACTTTTTGACAAACTTCAGCTCACTCTCTAATTCTCACTCTCTTACTTTTTTATGCTTTTACTCTTTTACTCTTTAATCCATTAAATAAATTATCACATAATAGTTTGTCCGAAGATGGAGCAACCTTACTATAATATGTCATGATTTAGCTGCGTCTTAAATTAGTATTTTGTATTCATGGGATTGGTACCTGCACATGACAGTAACACTTTTCGGCCGTGTTGATCTCGCTTTAACAGTGGTACTAAATAGCCATTATCGATGATGGCCATAAGTTCCGGATCATCAACATCGAGATTTTGGAACCAATTGGAATAAAGTTGCCTGATAGTGAGATACTGTTCTAGCATCTCCTGCGCCATCGGCAAACTGAATTTCTTCGTCCTAAGAAATCTTAGTAGGAACAACGAATCGGTTCTGCATTTTTTAATCGCAGGATGTTTCTCGATCCAATGACGAAATTGCTTCAGCGCTTGATCTCTCGTGTTGTCATCCTCACGGAGCTCCAATCTAGCTGTTTCCAATGTGTCCGCATCCAGCGTACTCTTATATTCATCATATTTCTTTGGCTGTCCTTCCGATACCATCGTCTGAAAAGTAATGCAAGTTTAATTAATGTCTTATCTCAATGGATTTTACGTCTTGAGCGAATAACGTTGGCTGCATTCAATCAGCAAGAAAAAGCAGCTTTACAATTATTGTAAAATCCTTTAATGTGATTATTTATGTATTTCGATTCAGTAAGAGAGACACTAAGGGGAAGATTAATCATATTAAAGAATTTTACAATAGTTGTTGCAAGGCTGCTTTTTCTGCTGATCGAATGTAGCGAATAATAGCTACTCTTATCTCTGAAAACAGCATATTAATCGAAGAAAATATATAAATCAATTATGTTAGTTAATTTAAATATTTAAGGAAATAAATTATTATTTTAAATAAAAAAATGACAATATTTGAAAAATTATTTTTAAAAATTACTAAATGAATTTGCTTTTTTAAATTTTAGAAAAGGTCTTATTTAAGTTGGATCTTAACGTTTTAAATAATATTTCAGCGTAAATTTACACGTACATACACATCCAGTTTTACAGTTGTGCTCCAAAGTCATTTTCGGTTTTTAAACGCAATCTTAAATCGAACTGAGATAATTATATCACAAATTAAATTCTTAGGTCATTTTTAAAATCAATTTTTTTAGTTAATATCCATTTTTTTGTTTTATAAAAATAAAATAAAAATACAAATTTAAAAAATAGCTGAAGAGACTGAGCGAATGGTGTTAAAAATATTCGTGTGAATTTGCATT